ATGGAGTAAAATTTTTATCGCTTAAACAAATGGCTTTGAAAATATTATTATCACTACGATTTAAAAAGTATTTTTTAAGAGACGAAATTTGCCTATTTTTCTCTAGTTAAGAAAAGTATTTGATAAAAATAATTGTTTAAAATCCAATTTTAGGCCAAAATGAAGCACTTTGTGCAATTTCCAGTTGATTTGACTCAAATTTAAGCCGAAAATCAATGAATTTCATCAAAATAAATGCTTAAGGTTGAACTATACTGAATAAAAAATAAATCGTTCTGCCGTTTAAAAATAAATTTAAATAATCTCTATTTTTGGCTATTTTATTTTTTTATAACAAAACTGTATGGAAAAAATTTTTGATTTATTTTTAGTGTATTGTGGATTACCTACTTATGCTACTGTATTTTTGTTCATCTAATTTAAATAATGCGTTTTTTCATAAAATATTAAAAACTAATGAATTTTGCAATTCGTTACAAATACTCAAAATGAGATAAAAACTCAATGTTACTTTGTGTATAAGGTGAAAAAGTTAGATAAAGAGATTTCAAAAATTAAAATTGTGTTAAAACCGGTCTTAGAACCAAAATTTGAGCGATTAATAAAAAAATACCAAAAATTCAAACATTTTCTCTTATTTTACTTAATTTTTCAAAATAATCCAGGGTCGTAAGCGTATTTTACAAGATATTCAATTCTTTTTTTATATCCTTCCATGTTTCTAATTTCTCGTGTAAAATAATCACCCAAGTCAATTCCTTGTTCGAGAGCCTCCCCCACATCCATAATCTCATCTTTTTCAACGAAAGAAGTTCTTATACTCCTAAGGGCCATTACAAGTCCATATTTGGCACAAGTGTTCCAATCTTTTAAAAACTCTTCACGTGGATACAAATTTTCAGGAATCAAACCAAACTTTTTCAGGTGATTTGAAAACGATCGGTGATAAACACGCAAAATATCTTCCATATTTCCAATATCTTGGTCTGAAATACAACTGAAAAGGAAATAAGACAAATCGGAGATTGGTGTCCCGTAGGTTGACACCTGCCAGTCGATTATCATCACTTTTGAGGGGACATTAGTTTTGTCCTGAAAAAAAATGAAAATAACTGAAACAATACCAAAAAAACGTACGTTATATTTGTACATGAAATTATTATTCCAGCAACCGCCATGACACACCACTTTCAGTGGCGCTTTTTCCTCAAATTCCACAGTCAACTGTGGGATTTGCTCCCTCAAAAGTGTTAATTTTGTGAGGATTTTCTCCTCCACTCGCCCCTCAAGCCACTCAATCACTTTTTGTAGCGATTTCGTGACGATATTTTGCATTGCAGGTGTCTGAAACATGTCACTCAARGTGCGGTTCAACAAAGCTAGAATCTCTTGAAACTTTTCAGGTTTCAGCGTTTTCAGGGCCACTGAAGTCGCATGAAATTTCCCATACTCTCGCACAACACACTCGATATGTGCCCGATTCAGGGGCTTCTTCACTGGCCACATTTCGTACCCCAATTTCTTCAAATCTTCAAGAACTATCACCTGAGTGCTTTCGCTCTTGTAACTGCCGTAACAGTTGGCCACACTGTCGAAGATTTCCCCCAAATCTTTCTCTTTTTGGAAGTTAATAAAAGTTGGTAGGAGTGTTTCGTAGAAGAATATTTCGCGGAGGAAAATTGTTTTGATTATTTCATTGTGTCCTTGAATTTTGCACGGTTTGTTGCATTTTAACACTAGATGGTAGTCCTGGTGGGGGGTTGAAAGTTGCACAAAAGTGATATCGCCGACGTAACCGTCGCCTTTGCCTGAATTTCCCACGAGTTTTACGGAGAAATTGGATAAATTTCGCGGTTTTAAGGCTGTTGAGAGCCACTGCTTAATTTCACTTTCCACTAGACTTGACATTTTTTCATAAAGTGGGAAAAAAACTGAGACAAATCCTTAAATAATGGCCGAGATAAGAATAAATTACGAATTAAACCGAGGAATTTTTTTGTTTTGAAGATTAAAATTCGAAATTTTCCGTTTTGTTATTGTTAAGTTAGCAAACAATATGCTAAATTGATGGCACTTTACTGATTATTCAGTGCATTTTTTAATGTCAAATAAGTTTTTTTTAATCTTTTGCTGAAAGCTCAGAAGTTTTAGTACAATTATTTAATTTGTGTTTGTTTTTGTAATTACCCGCTGAAAATTCTGAAACCTAAAAAGTTTCAGAACAATATAAAATCGAACATGTTAAATTAATGAGATTTTAATTTGTTAATTATTCGATTCATGAAAAGACAAAGCTTTTCTTTCGTGTTAAATTAGATTCTGCAAAAACTACATTACGTATATTAATCTGCGTTTTTTTGTAAATTTTCACTGAAAACCCTGAAATCTAAAAAATTTCAGAACAATACAAAATCAAGAATGCTAAATTGGTGACATTTTACTAATTATTCAGTTCATGAAAAACGCTTTTCTTAAGTGTTAAATAAATAACTTCTGCGTAGTCTGTTTTATTGCAATTTATTACTGAAAACCCTGAAATCTGAATTTCTGAAACAATACAAAATGGAGGATGCTAAGTTAATTACATTTTACTAATTGTACAACAATACGAAAAAATAATTTTGCACAAATTTCATTACGTCTAGTTTCCCATTTTCTTTGTAATATCTTGCAGAAAACCCTGAAACCTACAAAGTTTTAAAATCTAGACAAAATCGATGTTAAATTGAAGACATTTTAGATTTTTCAGTGCATAAGAAACACATTTTTCAGTGTCAAATAAGTTTTTGCTGAAAGCCCTGAAACCTGAAAAAATTCAATACAAAGCAAAATCGAGAATGTCAAATTAATGACGTTTTAATACTTTATTACTCATTTATGAAAAAAGCTTTTCCTTAGTGTCAAATTAAATTTTGCAAAATTTTTTTAGTAATAAAATTGGTTCCACCTCGGATTATATAACAAATCGTGTACTAAAGTTAATTAAAAAACAGCCTGACTGAAACTGAAAAACTGAAAAAAACTGGTGATTTTATTTTGGTTGTCCTGAAAATTTGCAAATTGCTTTGACTGTAATTTTAGTAAATCAAAAAAGTTCATAATGGTAAAAATAAGTTCAACTCATTTAATTTGTATCCCCATGAACGAACCTCCCAGAGAGTTTTTTCCTCATTTCTTAGCTTCATTAGCTAAAAAAAATTAATCGAAAAAATCATTAGCTTCTGGACTAATAGATTACTTTGAAGAAGTCCAATTTTTGGAAACAAACAAATTACATATTGAAATATTTTAAATAAAATTATTACAAAAAATTCGGTAATAAATAACATCTTTTTTTTTAATTAAAAAAAAAAATTAATGATTGTTCAAAACATATTTTTTACATTTTCTAATAAATAAAATTTTTGTAAATGTCAAAGAAAAAGAAGCATCAAGAAGAAAAATTTAATTCCCTATAATTTGCGTTTTTTTTTTTAAGTTGCAGAACAATACAAAATCAGGAATGCTGAATTGGGGCATTTTACTAATTATTCAGTTCATGAAAAACAAGCTTCTCTTTAGTGTCAACTTTATGCAAAAAATTTCATTACGTATAATCTACATTCTTTGTAATTCTTTTATTATTACTATTTTTTTTTAATTACTACCTAATGATTCAGTTCATGACAAACAAACTTTTCTTTAGTGTCAAATAAATAGGTATTGCATAAATTTCATTACCTATAATTTGCGTTTTTTTTTTTGTAATTTTCCTCTGAAAATCCTGAAAGCTAAAAAGTTTCAGAATAATATAAAATCAGGAATGTTAAATAGGTGACATTTTACTAATTATTCAGTTCATGAAAAACGCTTTTCCTAAGTGTTAAATAAATAAATTTCTCGTAATGTTTTTTTTTGTAATTTCTTACTGAAAACCCTGAAATCTAAAGTTTGAAAACGAGACAAAATGGAGAATGCTAAGTTAATGACATTTTAGTAATTGCTCAGTCCACGAAAATCACAGCTTATTTAATAGATTTTTCAAAAATTTCATTAGATATAATCTGCTTTTTTTATAATTTCTTGCTATCTTAAATCTGAAAAGTTTCAGAACAAAACAAAAAAAATTTGCACAAATTTCATTACGTCCAATTTGCCCCTGAAACCCTGAACTCAACAAAGTTTCAAAATAATTCAAAATCGATGCTAAATTTACATGTAAAAAAGCTTCTCTTTAGTGTCAAATAAACAGATTTTGCATAAATTACATTTCGTATAATTTACTTTTTTTGTAATTTCTCGCTAAAAGACTTGAAACCTGAAAAGTTTTAGAACATTAAAAACATTTTATTCATTATTTTATTCATAAAAAACAGATTTTTTTACTGTTAAATTTTAAAACCTATAATCTGCTTTTTGCTAATTTCTCGCTGAAAACTTTAAAACGTGGTCTCAGAACAATAAACTAAATTAATAACATTTTACTAATTATTCAGTTCATAAAAAACACAGCTTTCAAATAGATCAAGGAAAAAATTACTATATGTGAGTATCAGAAAAAAAAGTTTTTCTGACACAATTCATAATTGAATTGGTCAAACAATTTCACAATATTGCTCAATATCTTTCTCTCACCACAAATATAACATTCAAATTTATTCAGTGTGCAAAAAATGTGCAACAAAATCAAAACCTAGAAAAAATTTTGAAATTATAAAAAAAGGTTGCAAAGACTGAAAAAATCTTTTCAAATGTTATAATTTCCGTTATAAATCCTTTGTTTAGACAATTTAAATTTGTAAATTGAAAGAATATAAAGATAAAGAAACAGAAGGATATATAAATTGTATAAAAAAAGTAGATAAAAAAAAGAGAGATAAATTCAATAAAAATAGTTTTTGTAAAAATGTCAAAGAATCTAAAGATTCCAAACGAAAAACTGAAAGGATAAAAAATAAAAAACTAAATAAGAGTATAAAACACATTCAAAAATTATAAAAATTTTCGTAAAATTGTTGTTTTTTTGTACTTTCAAAGATAATGATAGTTTAAAGATTTAAAAAAAAAGTTTAAAAAGATTAAACTGTCTTGAGTTTAAGGCTTTATCAAAAATAACGTAACTGCAGAATAATTAATTTAATTTATGACAAGATTGTTACGTTGCCCATCTCTAAACATACCTTTAGCCTAATTGTTTACAGTGATGTGATATGAATTAAGCCCCTTTCACGGTCTTGACCTGTATATCCGCCGGTAAACGTAGAAAATTAACATAACTTCTACAGCGTGAATCACAAAAAGTTTGATTTTATTATGCTGAATAAAGCCAGTTTACACTTTCGTAATGTAACTGTGTATAGAAATCTCTTTATATTTTGTAAATAAAATAAATAAAACAATTTTTTCAAAACCAAACTTTATTTTTAATTTCCCTATTTTCTTTTTAAGAAGATATTCTTACGTTACGCAAACCTATAAAAATAAAGCTCTTTTTACACTCTAAACCGTCGGTAGACGTAACAAATATTTAAAAATTTATACAAATGCTTCTTACATTATTAAGTATCACGTAAACAAACCTTTAGTTGCGTATTATATTTTGAAAAACACTTTTCCAAAATCAAATCTGACGTAACATAACGTAACAATCAATTTTTCCTTTTTTTAAATCTAATTTTACACAACTTAATATCGCGTAACATAGCGTAAGTATGACAATAAAGCCACGCTTACATTTTATTCGTTATTAAGTATCGCAGAAATAGATCTTTAGTTACGTATTTATATGTTAAAAAATACTATTCGATAATCAAAAAAAAAATTAGTGTTTTCTTAACGTAGCGCTAATTAAAATTAAGTGAACGTTGTGAATTAGACTTTATCAAAAAGCAACGTAACCGCATCGTTAAAAAAATGAACAATTAGTGATTTCCTAACATAACGAAAAGCTAAAGCGGGCTTTATCAAAAATAACATAAATGCAACGTTGTGAAACAATCATAACAATTAATTTAAGTTATGACAAGATTGTTACGTTACGCATCTCTAAACATACCTTTAGCCTAATAGTTGTTTACAGTGATGTGATGAGAATTAAGCTACTTTCACAGTCTTGACCTGTATATCCGCCGGTAAACGTAGTAAATTAGTTAATTAACGTAACTTCTAAGGTGTGAATCACAAAAAGTTTGATCTTGATGCTAAATAAAGCCAGTTTACACTTTCGTAACTTAACTGTGTATAGAAAATAATAAATTAAGTCCATGAATGAAATAAATAAAACAATTTTTCCTAAACCAAACTTTATTTTCAATTTTTTTATTTTCTTACGTTGCGTGTGTGTAAACATACCCTAACTCTACAATTTCACACATCATCGTTACGCAAACCTATAAAAATAAAGCTCCTTTTACACTCTGACCCGTCGGTGAAACACATCTTTAGGTGCGGTGCGTATTATCTTTTAAAAAATACTATTACAAAAATAAATTTGATATAACATAACGTAACAAGCAAATTTTTCCATTTTTAAATAAAATATACAACTTAACGTGGCGTAACATAGCGTAAATATGACAATAAAGCCACGCTTACATTTTATTCGTTATTACCTATCGCATAAATAGATCTTTAGTTACGTATTTATGAAAAATACTAGAGTAAACTTTATTAAGGAGCAACGTAACCGCATCGTTAAAAAAATAAACAATTAGTGATTTCTTGACATAACGCAAAGCTAAAGTGGGCTTTATTGAAAATAACGTAACTGCAATAGTGTTACAACTCAAAATTTGCAAGTTAAGAAAAAACAAGGACAAAAATATAGATAAATATAAAAATTATAAAAAAAATAAAGAAAACAAAACAAAAAATTGATAAGATTTTACAACATTGCACAATATGTTTCTCCCGCCACTCAAACAGAGATAAAATCCATTCAGTGTGTGAAAAATGTGCGACAAGATCAAAACCTGGCTTTCCCACGTCGCAAAAACCCATCAATTTGAGTACAAAATTTGTGGTAAAAGTGGCAAAGATGAGGGCTACATGGGTGACATAACCTTCGTCACAATCACAAGCCCCAAAACCCTCGACCTTGTGATCAAATCATCGAAAAACAGTCCCATTTTGCGACACCAAACGCCCATGAAACTGACCTTCGAGAAAGAAATCTTCATTTATGAGCAAGTCTTGCCCACATTTCGTGACCTTGAGGCAAAAACCGGCGAGAATTTGCTCGATTTCATGCCTTTTTGTCACTTTACCCAAATTGAGGACTCGGGGGAAGTCCTAATTTTGGAGAACTTGAAAAAACAAGGTTTTGAAGTGTGTGACAGGACCAAGGTTTTGGGTTTTGGGCATGTTAGACTCGTCTTGGAGGCATATGGTAAATGGCATGCCTTTTCCTATGCCCTTAGGACTCGAAAAAGGCCAATTTTCGATCAATTGACCCGAAATAACATCAACATGTTTTGTCATTTTATCCTTGCAGTGGACTTGGTTGGCGTCATGTGGGAGGACTACACCGAGGCCAAAAACGCCTGTTTTGGCCACAAGTCCGAATTGGACTTGTCGAAACAGGACGCTACGTCCATTTTCACACAACTTTTCGCCGAAGAACAAGATTTTCAGGTTATTGTTCATGGCGATTGTTGGAACAATAATTTCATGTTCAGAGAAGAGAACAATAAACCAGTGAGTGTGCGAATTTTGGACTGGCAATGTTCAGGTTTGGCCTCGCCTGTTATGGACTTGTCCCATTTTATCTACGGCTGTTGTGACACTGAAACGCATCCAAATGTGMGGGAATTTTTACGGATTTACRACCGGAGTTTGGGGTCGTGTTTGAGGAGTTTGGGGTGCGATGTGGAGGAGGTTTTCCCTTATGGAAAATTGGTGGAACATTGGGGGAAATTCGCACGGTATGGACTATTCCTCCAACCTTGGGTTGTAAAATACTCGATTTGTGAATCAAGCGAGGCGCCGGATTTCGTGGAGGCGGCAGAAGGAGGAAAAGAGTTTTTGGACAATTTCAATATTGCGATTTCGGACAAGGAGGAGTTTTATCGGAGGGTCAAGAACAATTTTTTACACTATTTACGCAATTTGTAGGAAATTCTAAGGTTTTGGAGAATATATGTTTTTATATTTGTTGTATTATTATGTTTATTAGAATTAGGGAAAAATTTCTAACTGGGGTTTAAAATTATTGCTGCGCCACTACGCCCCCAGCCAGTGTCTCTGCTATAATCAAAATTTTTTCAAAAATTAGTTTCTTGTGTTTTTTTTCGATTTTTGGTACCCGGATTGGTCTATTGACAATAACTCCGGACCTATTAGTGTTAGCCGTTGGAAAGAAAATTTAATTTCCTGTCATAAACAAAAAGATCAGTGTTCTACGATAAACAGTTTTCGAGAAAATTGAAGATAAACTCAAAAATAAAGCTTATGACTTAAGCACTATTCTTAATTTTATAATTCAATATCTGAAAAATTATGCATCGTAGAGTATTTTAACTTGTTGTATCGTGTTCAGCGCGAAATTTTGTGTCTAGAAAACCATATTTCAAGCGTTTTTACGACTTTTATTAAATTGACTATTTTTACGATTTTACATCTTCAAAAATTCAAAAAATTGGAAATTTTTTAAACTTGTTCCAATGGCGTTTTATGAACTTATTTGAATCCTTAAGACCTCTAGAAATGTAAAAAACGTAAAATAGATCAATTTTAAAGTTAATTTTTTTTTTGATTTTTGTCGAGATTTTGGTCGATTTTTGGTACCCGGAGCGGTCTAATAGCAATAACTCCGGACTTATTGGAGATAATTTCTTATATTTGGTACCGTTGGATAGAAAATTGAATTTTCTATCATATATTAAAAATTTCAGTGCTCTACGATGAATAGTTACGAGAAAATTTCTGATAAAGTCAAAAATATCGAGAATTTAAATCCGACTATAACTTCAAAACTACTACGAATTTTGCAGTTTAATTGACGCCAATCGATTCCCCGGAACATTTTACATAGGTTTAGGTCAAAATATTATGTCATTGAGACACAGTTTTGCCGCAATTTACAAAATAAAAAAAAGTAGAAATTTGTCAACACCCCCCTTAAAAACTAGTGTTTTTAAACATGTCTCAGATTCAATTTAAATCTATCTTATCCGATAGATTTTGACGCGCTAATTACAAATTTCCCAATTATTTTGCGCTATCTCCTTTAGTTTCGCCGTAATCGGCGTTTAAAAATTCAAAATTGTCAAAATTGTGAAACTTTAAACGCGTTTTTCTACGAAATTATAGAACTTAGAGCAAAGGGGTAAAAACCATTAAAATTAGCTTAAAATTATCTAATTACTGGCGCAAACCGGAAGTCCGGGTTATGGTTCCGGGTACAGAGCCATTTTTAGTTTTTTCAAAAAAAAATTCATATCTCGAAAACTATGAGTCCTAGGTCAAAACGATGTTTCCAGGCGTGTTCTCCGGTTAATTTTACATATAGTACTAATTTTTCATAAGAATAAAAAAATGTTGATTTTTTGTCAAAATCGGATATAGTGCTTTTACTTTTAGCCTTATTCTTAACTTTATTACTCAATATCTCAAAAACTATGCATCGTAGAGTATTTTAACTAGTTGAATCGTGTTCAGCGCGTAATTTTACGTCTAGAAAACCATATTTCAACCGTTTTTACGACTTAAGGTAAATTGACTATTTTTACGATTTTACTACCGTTCCCCTTGAAAAATTCAAAAAAATTCAAAATTTTTGAAACTTGACCCCATGTCGTTTTATGCACTTATTTGAGTCCTTAAGACCTCTAGAAATGTAAAAAACGTAAAATAGATCAATTTTAAAGATAATTTTTTTTTATTTTTGTCGAGATTTTGGTCGATTTTTGGTACCCGGAGCGGTCTAATGGCAATAACTCTTGACTTATTAAAGAAAACCTCCTATATTTGGTACCGTTGGATAGAAAATTGAATTTTCTATCATATGTGAAAAATTTCAGTGCTCTACGATGAATAGTTATCGAGAAAATTTCTGATAAAGTCAAAAATATCAAGAATTTAAATCCGACTATAACTTCAAAACTACTTCGAATTTAGCAGTTTAATTGACGCCAATCGATTCCCCGGAACATTTTACATAGGTWTAGGTCAAAATATTATGTCATTGAGACACAGTTTTGCCGCAATTTACAAAATAAAAAAAGTTATTTGAGTCTTTAAGACCTCTAGAAATGTAAAAAACGTTAAATGGATCAATTTTAAAGTTGAAATTTTGGTCGATTTTTGGTACCCGGAGCGGTCTAATGCCAATAACTCCGGACTTGTTGGAGATAACCTCTTATATTTGGTACCGTTGGAAAGAAAATTTAATTTTCTATCGTATATAAAAAAAGATCAGTGCTCTACGGTAAATAGTTATCGCGAAAATTTCTGATAAAAAATCAAAAATATCAAAAAATATAAATTCGACTATCAAAACTATTATGAATTTTGCAGTTTTCTTGATGTCAATCGATTCCCTGGAACGTTTTACATACTAGTAGTTTAAAACATTTAAATTTTGAAGGGTAGTCTTGCCATAATTTAAGAAAAAGTAAAAATATTTGGATAGATTCCCAAAAAGTTTTTCGATTTTCGATTATTTTAGAAAAATTACGTATTTACTTTTCTGAAAAGCTGAAAACTCAAATCATTTAAGAAGTAGTTTCAGATGTTGCTTGAAAAAATTCTGAAAAATTTGAAAAACTGTAATTTTCAAAACAAATTAATAATAATCTACGAATTCTATTCCCCATTGCTGCCATCGAACCCCATAATAATATTGGCCTACTATTGGTAGTCCTGTCTTGTAAGCAAATCGGGAATTATTTGGTAGGGCAACAGTTGCTGCAAGTCCGACTTGACTGTTAACAATTTGACCCTCAAAACCAATGTGCCAAAGCTGCAAATTATCCTCGTCTCGAAATGGTGTTGATGTAATTAGTCGTGATCCAACTGTGGCGTTCTGTTCTATATCCAAATATTTGCTGTATTAAAAAAAAAATTAAATTGTAATTACAAAAAAAAGGTTTTTTTACCCGTTGCCTTGATTGACAATCTTGCATTTTCCATGATGTAGGTATTCCGGGGCCCATTTTTGTTTTGGAATCTTGGCATTGTCCCCAAGTACGACATAATAATCGTCAGCTTGTAAAACATAACCAGATTGGGTGTTTCTTAACAACAAGAAAGCATCGAGTTTCTGTAAAAAAAAATTGTTGGGGAGATTTCGAAAAATTTGTTACTGAAAATAAAACAATATACAGGCTGTCCCAGCGTTGAAAAAATTTATAGTGATTTTTAAATGGTAAAATTAAAAAAAATATATAGGACATTGATAGATACTAATCTATTCCATCGCCTAAAATTATTTTCAACTATACAGCGTGTCTCAAAAATGAGTTACAATATAAACTTGTGTTTTTTTAAATGAAACACCATATGTTTCGTAGCGTTTTTGGATGTAGATTTTTATGACAATGTTTTTAATCCAATCTTTTATTATTATATTTTTTTTACTCCCGCAAAAAAGAATCTGGTGATTTTCGTGTTAGTCTGGTGATTTGGTGAAAACTTTTGTATAAAAATTCTAATATCTGGTGATTTTTTGGAAATGAAAAAAAACTGTTTTTCGTGCAATTCCACGTTTTCAACCAGAAAATTGATTATTTCGTCAAATTTTTTCAAAAAAGTGTGCCAAATTGATTAAAAATAGTTCTGTTTGCTTAAACAAGATTTTACTAAATAGGATCAAAAATCACAATTTATTTTTGTCTTTTTCGTATACTTTTTCAGCTATAAATACAATTATTTTGCAAAATTTCGTTAAAAGCAATCCAAAAATTCAACAAATTCGACCAAAACTGCGTTATTTTTGTTCTTTTCAAGTGTTTAAGCACGTCTTTGAGATAAAAACAAGGAAAATTGTAAAAATTTAGAGCTAAACTGTTTTCTCGAACCGATTGATCAAAGTTTTACAAAAGAATCCAAAGAATTAATTGTTTCTGAACATTGTGTAATCTTTATCAAAATGTAAAAGCAGTTTTTTCACATTTTTCTACAATTTTGAATGTTAATTTTGAAAAAAAAATAATCGAAAAAATTATAAACCATTTTTTGATATTTGTGAAAATGAAAATTCAAAAACCAATTTTTGAGACCATTTATTTAGCTTTTGTATACCCTAATTTTACTCATTTCAAATTAATTGCATTAGTGAAAAGTTGATACCCCCAAGCTGTATTCAGCACTAGATTTACAAACATTCATGCAGATTGTCAAAAAAAGTATTTTTTTTAATTGTTTCCGATTTTTTTTTCAAATTTAACAGTAGTGTATTATTTTTCAAAACTCAACAACTTGAAGCATTTTGAAACTGTGAACATGTACTATTTTTATTGCAAATGTTATTTATTAATTTTTTTCTTTTATAGTAAGTACACAAAAAATTATATTGTTTTTCAATTTTCTAAATATTAAATACAATAAATTCAGCAAACATACGGAAGCATAAATTTTTTGTTTATGCACCCATTGAAAATACAGGGTGTTCCACCGAATTGAAAAAGTCCATTAATGACCTTTAAATGGTAGTATTTAAAAAAAATTATATAGGACATTGTTAGATACTAATCTAGTCCATCGCCTAAAATTATTTTCAACAATACAGAATGTCTCAAAAATAAGTTATAATACAAACTTGTGTTTTTTTAAATGAAACACCGTATGTTTCTTAGCGTTTTCGAATCTAAATTTTTATGACAATGTTTTTACATTTTTATTGGTGGATTTTGCTTAGTTTTAAAAATAAGACGGTTTTTTTGACAAAAACATGCACTTTTTAAAAATTTATTACACAAAAACTAAGACATCTAGAAATATTTTTTTTTACTACCGCAAAGAAGAAGGTACAAGCTATAAGGTTGTAACATTTTTTTAGTGTGTTGCATTTGCAAAGATAAAAAAATGAAGGCGTTTGTTAAAGTTCAATAACTTAAAAAATTTTAATGGAACACTCTATTTATTGTTTTTGCATTTGAAAGGTTATTAAATTGTCTTTCTAAAATTATTTACTTTTAGATGTTTATAATCGATAACTAAAAAGATATTTAATGTTAAACATTAAAAAAAAATAATTACTATTATTTCAGTAGCCAAAAAGTGCACAGTTGCACAAGAGATGGAAGAAATATCACTTAATAATCACATTTGTGTTAAACTGAATCCATTATTCTTTCTTTTTACAATAAAATAATTCGAATTTCAGTTTTCATAACGACTTTTACAATCTTTGGATAAATCAACTGATAAGTGATCCGTGGTGGAATTACTATGATTACCATAGTATCATCAATGCTCAGATATTGATAATCATTGTTGCTCCAATTAATATTGAATGTTAAATATCTTTTCATTTATCAATTCTAGACATTAAAAGTTTATTTTTCTAGATAGACAATTTATCAATCTATTAGATGCAAAAATAAAAAATAGGGTGTTCCATTTAAATTTTTTAAGTTATTTAACTTTTGACAAACTTCTTAATTTATTAATCTTTACTAATGCAAAACACTAAAAAATTGCTTCAGTTTTAAATTCGTTACTTTCTTCTTTGCAGAAGTAAGAAAAAAATTGTTCTAGTTCTTAGTTTTTGTGTAATAAATTTTTAAAAAGTGCAAGTTTTCGTCAAAAAAACGTCTCATTTCTAAAACTAAGCAAAATCGACTAATAAAAGTTTAGCGTAAAAACATTGTTTTAAAAGGCTACATCCAAAAATGTGTTTCATTTAAAAAAACACAACTTTGTATCGTAACTTATTTTTGGGACACTCTGTATGGTTGAAAATAATTTTAGGTGATGCACTAGATTAGTATCTACCAATGTCCTATATTTTTTTTTAATTTTACCATTTTAAGGTCACTAATGGACTTTTTCAACTCGCTGGGACACCCTGTATTATATATAAACTTGAAACAAAATCAAACAAAAATTCAAAATCAAATTTAGTGATATGGAAAAAAGTTCTTACCCCGCTTTGCCTGGGTTGGACCTTTATGGGACTTGAAAGTGTTTCTTTGTCCTGTAGAAAAATAATTGCAATTTTATAATTACTCACATTTTTGCCTTTTTGAAAAAAAAACAAAATTAAAAAAATTGTTTAGTTTTTCTTACCATTTTTGCAATAGTGGCCCAAGCAACAAGAAAATACAGTGCGATTGCAAAATTCACACGTGTGTTCTTCATTTTTTCTTCCAATTTGTCTTGTTTGGTGATTTCCCTCTTTATAAGTTTTTTAATCACTGATTTTGCACATAAATTGCYAGATTAATAGTCATATTTTGGAACACTTAAAAATAACAATGCAAAAAATGTTACCGTCAAGTGTTCAATAAAAAAATGCTTTGTTTTTTATTGTAGATTTGAATTGTTTCTTAAAAAATAGTGGTTTTTGTTAATTTTGACTTCTATGATTTAAAACGTCGTTATTTTTTAATATCTTGTCCCTCTGACTCAATAAATTTAGCCCAAGAAAACACTTTTGCAAAGACTTCCCAAAACTCAGAAAGAAGGTGCCGTTTCAGACTTTTTTACTTATATRTCGAAAACGGTTCATGTTACGAAAAAAATGATTAGGTACGAAATTAAAGCCTATGAAATTACCTACAAGACGCATTTTTCGGTTTTTCTCTAACTAAAATAGTTTTCGAGATATCCGCTAACAAATATCGCACTTGTTTGTCCCACTTTGCTTCTAAATACTGTTTRTGACTTGACTCAAAAACAAAATGTGATTTATGTAAGATTCTAATTTGGGTAAAATAAAGGAAATTAAAGATGTGAAAAGGAATTTTTAGAAATTTATTTGCCATTTGGAAGAAATTCACACTCTTTGCAAAATAAAATGCTGCCAATCACCTCCATGCCAGGGATGCGCTTTAACCTCCATTCCGTGTTTATAAGATGTTAAATCTGGACTTTTCACGGGAATATTTAGTGAAAATCCCAGTTTTGCGTTGATGATACCTTCGCCATAGTGCAAATGCCACTCCTGAAAAGGATCACCTTCTTCTTTTGGTTCTGTTATTACGTTAGAACCAGCAGAACAGTTCCCTCCAATATCCAAAACTCGGCTGTATTAAAAAAAATGACAAAGAAACGCTTAAAAAAATTAAATTTTTACCCATTGCCTTGGTTAATAATATTGAATTTTCCACTACCCACGTATTCCGGAACCCACATTTGGTTCGGGGTTCCGGTAGCATACACAACAATGACGTTGACTTCGTTTGCTTGTAAGACTAAACCAGATCTTGGGTTCCTTATAAATGCGTAGCTATCGAGACTCTATATAAACGAAAAAGTGGTGGTAACACTGTCCAAGACCAAAATCAGCCTTTTTGGGGCGATTTTGAGAAAATTGCAATTAAAATTTCAAAAAAAGTTCAAAAACTCGCCCAAATTTTCTCAAAATCCCTTCAACAAAAATTAAAAAATCAAAGAAAAGAACAATTTATATCAATTCAAAGTTTCCAAAAAAGCGATGTGGCAACGTGGCCTAATGGCATTGATTGAACAAGATAAAAATTAATTATTCTTGAAACCTTAGTAACAGTTTCCTAGGAAATAACTTTGTTACCATGACGATASCTAAAATGAGTGCACAGTGTTGCCACTTTTTGAACACCCTGTATATGAATAATGATAATAAATTATTATTTTTTTTAATTTTAACACTTGAGTGGATTAAATTTCTTACCCTAGGTGCGACGTTTTCTTTGCAAGTTGAGGGTGTTTGTTCCTGTGTAAAAATGGCTTAGCTCAAAATGGCGTTTTTCGGTTTTACTCACTTTTTTGGTTTCATTTTTGTGCTCCTAAACATAAAAAAATTAAAAAATGTTTAAATTGTTGTTTTTTCTTACCAATTGTTCACCACTGGCCAAAGTAAGAAAAAAATACAGTGTGATTGCAAAATTTAGACTCGTGTTCTTCATTTTTTTTCAGGACTGTTCTGTTGGGTAATTTGCCTCTTTTATACGGTTTTTTATCACGTAGATTGAACATTACCGTTAAATAGCGAGATTTTTAATAAAATTGGGTGTTAAAACTAAAAATGAAAACTTTTATGTCACTATTAAATGTTTAATTAAAAAATGTCGTCAAGATGGTGTGACAATTTGTTTTGTTTTTGACCCTGTTGTGAGATTATTTTGACAAAAATTTAAAGTTTGGATTATGTTGATGATTTTTTTGTTTTTAAATATTAAAATGATTTAATTTAATTTTTGAAAAAAATCCAAATTACTTTTGATTTTAAGAACTATGATTTTAAATTTTATTTTTAAATAGTAATTGATTATTGTTACTATTAAAAAAAAGTGTGTGTTTTTGAAAAAAAAATATAATTAAAATATGCTAAAATGAAAATTTTGGAAAAAAAGAAAAAGCGTTTGACAAAAAAAAATTAATTAAAAATTTTCTCAATAATCTACATGTTCTATAGTAAATCGCTGCCAATCACCCCCATGGAAATAATAATAAAAATAAAAAACAAAAACTTGCTTTTATAAAAATATTTATTGTAAAACCTTAAAACACACCACATACATAAAAAATTGAATTGGTAAAAAAATTGGGATTTAAACTATTATTTTTCAAAATTGTTTTTCTATTTAAAATTATAATTTAAAAATAAGCTAAAATAATGTTTGAATTTTCTTGTTATTATAAAATTACAGCATTGAAACGATTCCTAATTCGAATAAAATTGATTTGTGATAATTGACAATGTAAAAATGATAAAGACAAATGATAATTTATCTGCATTTTAATTAAAAAATGAGCGGAAAAAATTGTTAAGTCATATCTAAATCACTTCTGTTTTTAAGAACTCGATTTTTAATTTTGAATTTTGTGTATTTTTGAAATAAATTCTATTGTGAAATTTAGTCTAAAAACATGCTAAAACCTTAAATTTTTGACAATCTGAAAACACATTTTTTAAGTATTTATATGTGTAGAGCGTTCCCCAACTAAGCTGGCCTGCCTGAAAGGTGACTCGGGTGTAAACATTTAAACGGAGATATAAATAAAAATTTTGGATAATAGAGAGAATCAATCTGTAAGAGGGTTAAATSGGGTGTAAATGTTTAAARAAAGATATAAACATAAAATTCTTTAGAGGTGTAAAGGGGCACTAAAATCAGATTTTTCGAAAATAGTTTTTAAGGATATGAAACGGTGTACACATTTAAAGGAATATTGAAACATAAAATTTGGAAAATATGATCCTTAGAGAGTGTACAAGTGCACTTTTCAAATTCTAATGAAATTAAATAGAGTTTAAACGCTGAAAAACAAAATTAGAAACATGAAATTTCGAATTTTTATTCTTAATAAATTCAGTTGGAATTAAGATTGCATGTAAAACGAGAACAAACGGGAACAAACCAGAGCAATCCGGAACAAAAGAGAACAAATCGGAACAATTGGGAACAAAAGAGAAAAAAAAATAAAATAACAAATAAAAAAAAATATTCGATAATGTAGCAGGTAGTCGTAAAAATATAGGTTTAGATGAAGAAGCAGATGAATTAATTAGTAAATATTTAGAAACTTTTCAGTCATAAATGGATAAACTAGTTTCATACATTCCTAATGACGAGAAAGAAAAATTGAAAAAAGATTTGAAACCTATTATTACTGGAATAGACAGATTAGAAGATGGAGCAAAAATAGTTGGTTTCAAACAAGAAGTTGTAGATAAATATATTGCAAGAAAAGCAGCTAATTTATTCCTTGAACAATTAATTATGACTGACTGTGAGCTAGAGTCCGCTAATAATAAAATAGATGAATTGGAATATAAATTAGATAACTACAATAATTATGATCCTAAGAAACTAGCAGAATTAAGAAACAAAACAGTACTAAGAACTTTGAAAATATTTGAAAGACATACTAAAAATATGAGAGCAATAAATGAAGAGATTCAAAAATTGTAAATTAAATGGAAAGTACTGTATTTAAATATATTCAATGAAGAATATCCAAAATTCCGAAAAAAGTTTTCAAGTCTCATTCAACAAGTTAATAAATTAAAAATTCTTATTTTTGTTCTTATGTTTATTATCGTAATTGTTATTATTGTTTTCTCAATTTATTACTTCCACACTAATAAAAAATAGCGATTTATTCAACAATTTCCATAAGCTAATGTATCTGTAGAATTAGGTAAAAGGTATCTTTTATCATCTTTCCAACTTAGAGACTTTTTCTTTACTTCTTCAGTAAATATATCATGTTCATGACTCCTGATCACTTTCTGTCTATGGAAGTATTCTTTTTGATTAAATAAGCAATTTTTTTAATCTTCAAAACTTATTTCTTTTTTCAATACTGCTTTCTTAATACCTTTTAATTTTTTCGAAACAGAATTTTCGGTTCTGTAACTGTACATTTTTGACCTTAAACCTATGCATTCTAATATCTAATAATGATGTTGAATAACAATAAGGCAAAAAAAGTTAGAAAATATTATATTAAATTAGAAGAATTGCTAGATAAATAGGAAAATTACATTAACGAATATAACCTTTTAAAGCAAAACATAATTATAAAATTAATGCTGATCCATTAAACCTGTTTGACTTTATAAATAAAAATAACTACTCCTATAAAATTAATTTGAGTACGTGGTTGACCGATCTATGGTTTACGTTATTTAAAAGAAAAATATAATACATAATAACAAATGATRTTTTATGCTTTATACAATATGGAATTTCTGTGGGGGGTGGCTATCCCCCACTGAATTTACGCGATATTAAGAAAGACTTAAAGAAAATTTAAAAAAAACTATAAAACAGAATACCAAATAATAAATTATGATAAGATTAAAAATGAATTATCATATGATAAAAAATTGATAACAAAAGATATTATAAATGTTTCGCCAGATAATTTAAATAAAACAATATGGATTTTATTGAGTGGTGTTTGTAATTTTAAATCCCTAATAATAACATTAAATACAAAAATGGATCAAGAAATTAAAGAATATTATATTACTTTGGAAGAAATATTTTATTCATATTTGGAATACACTAAAAAGTTTTATTTGAATATAGGAGAATCACTTGAAAAGATASTCAGATAAAYCAAATTGAAACGATAATTGAAATTAAGAAAGATGGTTAAAAATATTATCAAGTTAACCAAAGACCATTTAATAGTATAATAGTTTTATAGCAAAGATTCGGTAATAAACAATATAACAACAATTGTGGTAAAGACATGTTTCCATTATAATTTAATCGATGATGACAATGTAAACAGATAACTCATCTTTGATAACCTAAGCACAACAAATTGTCCTTAAAAAAATTGAATATATCGTAGGTATGCCTTTCTTCCGATAAATGAGATTATTCACTTACTTCCAAGTATAAAAAATAGCTGCAGTCAAATACCTATTGTGATTTGGACAACCTTTCTGGATTATGATACTAGCAAACTAAGAATAGTCAGCAGCTTTAAGCAGATATTTTCTCTGCGATATTTAAAAACCTTTACAAAAACACAAATTCAGATAAGCAATTGCCTACCTGTACCTAATTTTAGGTTAAGTACAACACGTGTTACAACTTCCAGTGATAACAGTATAATAAATATAATTATTCTAGTTATTAATTACTACCATGTTTTGGACATTGCGAAAACAATGTTTTTCTTTTATGACATTGAAAAACGATTACAACAATAGACTTAAAAACCACGTTCGTGGGTCAGTCAGGATTCAGTTGTTTGATTTACTTTAATTTTAGACACAACCGTTGAAAATGAATGAAAAGCAGACGAATTATATTTTACTTATAACATTTAATAAATATCAAGACATTGACTTACATCAATCCTGAATTCTTCTTTAACTCATGAGCCCTTGACGAATCAACAGTTTTGTTCAATACTCTGGTTAATTTTCACAATTATATTCAACATCAGCAAATCAGCATTGCTACATCAATAACAGTGCAACAAGCAAAGGTATAAACAAAAAAAAATGCGCTTTTTCCACAAAATAAATTTATTAAATGAAGAGAAAGCAAAATCTTATCAGTAAATAAGTCTCAATATCATAACACCATTCTCACCAGTTTTATCATTTTAGATAAGTTGATATTAGTTCNGATTACAACAATATACTTAAAAACCACGTTCGTGGGTCAGTCAGGATTCAGTTATTTGATTTACTTTAATTTTAGACACAACCGTTGAAAATGAATGAAAAGCAGACGAATTATATTTTACTTATAACATTTAATAAATATCAAGACATTGACTTACCTGTTAAAAACGATTGGACAGCTAATAAATCACAAACGCCTTCTATGCAAACGCCACCGACAAGTAAAAAGGGAAACTGAATTATCGACCGAAACAGCGCCGCGCGCGATCCTGGACTAGATGGCGCCATCCATAGTATCGTTTTGCATTAAATTTTATTATAAAAATATGTAAGCAAATTTAAAAAACAACAAATTAAGTCGAAAATTATATTACTTCTGCATTGCTCAAGCGTTTTAGTACGTTTTTTCAGCTAGAAACGCAAGTAGTTCTCAAAATTTTGTTACAAACACAGAATTAGGCCGAAAATTATGTAATTTTGCGCATCTTTTGACAGTTTAAGCAGATTTGTAAGCTGAAAAGTTGAGATTTTGCCGTCCAGAGTCAAAAATTACGTTTTTTAACTTGGTTCTAGTGAATTTTATTTTTTGTGTTGGTGTTCCTGAACCTGTCTACGACGTTAAAATTTGTCAAATCGGGGATAATATTTGAGAAAAATAATACTATATTATTATTACATAAATACTTTATGTTGGTACCTTTAGTGTCGCCTAATACAGATTATTTATAATTTATTCGTAAAAATATAAATTATTTTTGATAATAATGACAACGTTTAACGTAGTAATGGCATGAAATTATAAAAATCACCTAAATGGGTTTAAAAGTAAAGAAATTTACTTTTAAAGTAGGGAATTGTAGTAATGTTGGTATTGGCTAAATGTCAAAACATCAAAATGGCGCTAAATACAAATTAAACGGTTTAAATTAGAACACAGTGTTGCTTCCGGCGCTTCCTCTTCCTAATGGTGGCCCTCGCCGCCCCCTTGAACACCTCCTGGACGTTATATTTCGTCTTGGCCGAACATTCGATGTAGCAAATAGCCCCAATTGTCCCCGCCATGGCCTCGGCCTCCTCCCTCGTCACCGGGGACTTTTTCATCATTTTCAACTTCTCCAACTCTTCCTTGTCCTCTCTGAGGTCACTCTTCGTCCCTATGAGCAACACAGGAACGTTGGGACAAAAGTGTCTCACTTCTGGACACCACTTCGCTGAGACATTCAAGAGGGAGTCCCTCCACATCACCGAGAAGCAGATCAGCACCACGTCGGTCTCGGGGTATTGGATGGGGCGGAGACGGTCGTAGTCCTCCTGGCCCGAGGTGTCCCAGAGGGAGAGCTCCACGGTGATGGTGTCCAGCTCCACATCAGCGACGTAGTTCTCGAACACTGTGGGGCGGTATTCGGCGTTGAAGATGTCTTTGGCGAAGGCGATGAGGAGGCAGGTCTTGCCGCAGGCGCCGTCGCCCACGATGATGAGCTTCTTTTGGACCGAGGACATTGTGAGGGAAGTGACGAGTTTCACAATCAGGAGATAACGTTATCTGGGTTCCATTAGGTAGTAAATTAGATAAAGTCAACGTTTGTTATAGAGATGAGGAAATAATTAAATTAGGGAAAAACACAAATTTGGTTATTTTAGGGGAATTACCTAAGATTTAGATGTAAAATTTGAGTATACTCAAAATTGAATTTTGAAAATTTTTGACTAATAAATAAACAAAGTTTTTGGCCTATAAGTATGTCAAATATTTCACGTATTATTTGGTGTTGAAAAAATCGGAAAATTTCGAATAGTTTAGAAGTTACCAGTGACGTACTTTAATTAGTGTTTTTTTTGCATACATATCAAGGATTTTCTCGATAAGTATTAGTCTCAAAATAATGATTTTTTCTATAGGATAGAAAGATAAAAGTTCTTTTTAACGGTACCAAACATAAGTGCCTACGATCAATAGTTTTAGAGTTGTAGAAAAATATCTTGATTTTTTTAGTAAATTCCTGAAAAATCGTAAAAATTGATTGAGTGGTACGAAAACGTTTAAAATACGGTTTTCTAGACGTAAAATTACGTGCTGAACAAAATGCAATAGGTTAAAATGCTCTACGATGAGTAGTTTCTGAGATATTGAGTAATAAAGTCAAGAATCGAAAAAAAAATCTAGATTTTTTCTACTTTTTTTGTATTGTAAATTGCGYCAAAAKMGTYRCTRAAWGARATAARATTTTGACYTYYACKTATGRAAAATGTTCCGGGGAATCGATTGTCMTCGAGAAAACCGGAAAACTCGTAATAGTTTAGAAGTTATAATCGAATTTATATTTTCGATATTTTTGASTTTATTAGAAATTTTCTCGATAACTATTAATCGTCGAGTACTAGTTTTTTTGTGTATGATAGAAAATTAAATTTTCTTTCCAACGGTACCAAATATAAGAAATTATCTCCAAGAAGTCCGGAGTTATTGGCATTAGACCGCTCCGGGTACCAAAAATCGACCAAAATTTCGACAAAAATAAAAAAAAAATATCTTTAAAATAGATCCATTTAACATTTTTTACATTTCTAGAGGTCTTAAAGACGCAAATAAGTGCATAAAACGCCATTGGATCAAGTTTAAAAAWTTTTTTGAATTTCTGAAGATGAGCAGTAGTAAAATCGTAAAAATAGTCAATTTAATAAAATTCGTAAAAATGCTTGAAATATGGTTTTCTAGACGTAAAATTTCGCGCTGAACACGATACAACAAGTTAAAATACTCTACGATGCATAGTTTTTGAGATATTGACTAATAAAGTTAAGAATAAGTCTAGAAAAATCCGATTTTGAACAAAAAATCAAAAATTTTTTATTCTTATAAAAAACTAGCACTATATGTAAAATTAACCGGAGAATACGCCTGAATAAACCGTTTTGACCTAGGACTCATAGTTTTTGAGATATTAATTTTTTTTTAATAAAACTAAAAATGTCTCTGTACCCGGAACCATAACCCGGAGCGACTTCCGGTTTGCGCCAGTAAATAGATAATTTTAAGCTAATTTGAATGGTTTTTACCTCTTTGCTCTAGGTTCTATAGTTTCGTAGAAAAACGCGTTTAAAGTTTCACAATTTTGACAATTTTCACTTTTTAACGGCGATTACGGCCAAACTATTAGACTTAGAGCAAAGAATTTAATTCCATCGTAATCAGCGTAAGAAAATCTATCGATTGAGGCCAAAGCCAAGTCGATATCTCGCAAAAAAAATTTGAATTTTTAAACGCCGATTACGGCGAAACTAAAGGAGATAGCGCAAAATAATTGGGAAATTCGTAATTAGCGCGTCAAAATCTATCGGATAAGATAGGTTTAAATTGAATCTGAGACATGTTTAAAAACACTAGATTTTAAGGGGGGGGTGTTAACAAATTTTTACTTTTTTTTATTTTGTAAATTGCGGCAAAACTGTGTCTCAATGACATAATATTTTGACCTADACCTATGTAAAATGTTCCGGGGAATCGATTGGCGTCAATTAAACTGCAAAATTCGTAGTAGTTTTGAGGTTATAGTCGGATTTAAATTCTCGAAATTTTTGACTTTATCAGAAATTTTCTCGATAACTATTCATCGTACAGCACTGATCTTTTTAATATATGATAGAAAATTCAATTTTCTATCCAAAGGTACTAAATATAAGAGGTTATCTCTAATAAGTCCGGAGATATTGCCATTAGACCGCTCCGGGTGCCAAAAATCGACAAAAATCTCGACAAAAATCAAAAAAAAATTTAACTTTAAAATTGATCTATTTTACGTTTTTTACATGTCTAGAGGTCCTAAAGACTCAAAAAAGTGCATAAAACGTTATTTGGTAAAGTTTAAAAATTAAGAATTTTTTGAGTTTTTGAAGGTGAGCGGTAGTAATACCATAAAAATAGTCAGTTAACCAAAAATTTTTGATTCTTTTAAAAAACTAGTACTGTTTGTGAAATTAACCGGAGAACACACCTATACAAACTGTTTTGATGTAAAACTAAAACTTATAGTTTTTTGAGATATGAATTTTGACAATTTTTATTTTTTGAACGACGATAACGGCTAAACTATTAGACTTAGAACAAACTACTAGAATCAATTTTTTTCGACATACCTAGTTAATTTTTATACTTTTCGAGAAATTCACGTTTGACATTTCTAAATTTGAATTACGCGCTTCATTGCATTTTGTTAAGGTTGGCAATAGTCGGCATAACAGACACACAGTTGTGTTTGTAGTTTCACGAATATTTGTGATAATTATTGATGCTTCAATTTTCAATTTTTATCACCTAAAACCCGACTTTTGATAAGAAAAAGTGTCCAATCAAATGTTATGCAACCAATCATACAAACACGACGGAGCTATACAACGTGTCCAAGTGCGAGCGAGACACCCTTAGCGCGTTACCACGCATGCGCACATGTCAAACCGCCCCAGCGCCCTCTACTCGGCCATTCTCGTCGCTTGTTTACGTGCTTAGTGTTTCTCTCGTGCAAAACTCGATGAATCCCTTGCAATAGTAGCTCGGGCTCCGGTGGTTCCCCCTTCCTGGATGTTTTGTTGCTGGTCCGACGCGGAGGACTCCGGAAAAGGTGCCTAATCTATCTCTAAACTCGCCCTACCACCCGGTGGATGTCCGCCATCTTGACTAGGCGTTGACGGTGTTTTGTTAGGTCCGATGGCAGCCATCAGGAAGAAGCTGGTGATCGTGGGCGACGGCGCCTGCGGCAAGACCTGCCTCCTCATCGTCTTCAGCAAGGACCAGTTCCCCGAGGTGTACGTCCCCACCGTCTTCGAGAACTACGTGGCCGACATCGAGGTGGACGGCAAGCAGGTGGAGTTGGCGCTGTGGGACACCGCCGGCCAGGAGGACTACGACCGTCTGCGGCCGCTGTCCTACCCCGACACCGACGTCATCCTCATGTGCTTCTCGGTGGACTCGCCCGACTCGCTGGAGAACATCCCCGAGAAGTGGACCCCCGAGGTGAAGCACTTCTGTCCCAACGTCCCGATCATCCTCGTGGGGAACAAGAAGGACCTGCGGAATGACCCGAACACCATCAACGAGCTGAAGAAGATGAAGCAGGAGCCGGTGAAGCCCCAGGATGGGCGCGCCATGGCCGAGAAGATCAACGCTTTCGCCTATTTGGAGTGCTCGGCGAAGAGCAAGGAGGGCGTGAGGGAGGTGTTCGAGAATGCCACACGTGCAGCCTTACAAGTCAAGAAGAAGAAGAAGCATCGCTGTGCTCTGCTCTGAGGGGGCTGTCCAGGCACAAATATTCTATATTATTATATTGTAATGTTATTTTATTTTTTTTTTTTTTGAATTTGTATCAATTGTGGTGCATAAGTACATATAACGTTAACTTTATTCAAGTGTAAAGTTGATGGCTGTAATTAGTTTCCTCTTTCCCAAACAAAATTCGACTAATTTTTATAGACAACTCTCCAGGAGGTGTGTGCGAGTTGCCTATCTTTGTAATAGCTTTAACTTTTCCATAATATTGTATCTTACAAGTAAAAATAAATTGTTTTCTTATATAATGACAATCATTTCATGACTCATTACCACAAGAAAACGAGACGATTTCTCATAATTGCGATAAAAGGCTAAATATAGGAGTGATTACTCTCTAATTAAATATTTATGCGTTAAGTTTGAAAATTTGGYGAATTTAAGTTTTTAATATGGCGATGATGGTGATTTTTGAAATTAGACTAATTAGAGGTTYGTACAAATGAGAAYAATATTTGTTAAGAAAAATACAACGCTGTGACATATAACTGGTGATTTTCATGCTAGTTTGGTAACACTTTTGTAAAAATTCTAAGTATCTGGTGATTTTTTGGAGCCTTTTGAACGTTTTTTTGATCAGAAACCTGTTTAAGCCCCAGAGAAAAATGCCTTACTTGGTAAAATGGGAAAAATGTTTAAAAAATTTGCTTTTATTGGCAAAATTTTTGTTCCTTTACTAAATAATTAAAAAAATACAGACATAAAGAACATAAAATGTCAAAAATAAATGTCAAATTTTTTTTTCATATTCCTGGTACCTTACTGAATTTTTTTTCTGGGGCGCGAGTTCTGACACCCTGTATTTACCGACTTTACAGTTTCGTAATTTTATAAATAATAAATAAATAATAGTGTATTAAAAAAGGCAAGTTTTGTGGAACAAGTTCCCACAAATGAGTTTTTTATGCTATTTTTCTATTTTGTGCGTTTTACGTAAGTACTTTTTGAACATAAAAGTCAATTTTTCAAAATTTGGAAACTTTTGCTCTAATAAGATTGTGGTTGGTAATAGAATGTAACATAGTTTGAGAGTTTGATTTTCGAAGTGTCAAATCAAAATTTTGTTGGATTAACAATGAATACAGCAAACATTTCATGCACACCATCTGAAAAAAGAGAAATCGCTCAAAACTCCGCTGAAAATCACCATTGCCAACATTTAGAAACTAAATTTTACTAGTTTCTTTCAACACCCAAATCGGTGTTGAAATGGCTAATTAAAGCATCGGTTTTGGTATCGAAATATCTTTCAGACGCAAAATAGAAAAAATTTTGTAATAGCTTTAACTTTTCCATAATATTGTATCTTACAGGTAAAAATAAATTGTTTTCTTATATAATGACAATCATGACTCATTGTGACTCATTACCACAAGAAAACGAGACGATTTCTCATAATTGCGATAAAAGGCTAAATATAGGAGTGATTAGTCTCTATATAAATATTTATTTATGCGTTAAGTTTGAAAATTTGGGGAATTTTAAGTTATTAATATGGCGATGATGGTGATTTTTCGAAATAAACTAATGAGAAGTTGGTAGAAATGAGAAAAAAAAAATTGTCAATAAACTTTTTTTTCAAATATTAAACTTGACAAAAATACAACCAGCAGTTATAGTGAAATTTCACTAGAAATATCTGGTGATTTTCATGCTAGTTTGGTGACAACTTTTGTAAAAATTTTAATAAATATCTAGTGATTTTTTTGGAAATAAAAAACTACTTTTGTAACTCTCAAAAATAATTGTTTTACGAGATTTTACTCGAATGCAGTAATTTCGCAAAATTTTATTAAATACAAGTCAAAACTCCACAAAATAGGCCAAAATGGTATTATTTTTTACTTTGTTTCACTCGACTTGTTTGGTTTTTGCAAAAGTTTGCCCAAAAACGCATAAAAATCACAAAATAAATTGAAATTGGTGTTAAATACTGATTTTTGAGCAAAATTATGACAAAACCTAAGCTGAGAAACCACAAAATATGTTGATGCTTTTTTAGCTTTTTCCATCGAATTTTTTCGTTTTTGACTCATTTATTTTGCAAAATCTTATCCAAACACGCCTAAAAATCACAAAAAGAATATTTTTTTGTTTCACCCGATTTAACTGTTTAGTCAAAAACTGGTGGTTTAGTAATAACTTTTGTAAAAAATAATATCAGTGATTTTTTGGGAATTAAAAAAACTAGACACTTATTTTTCAATTATTGATATAATAAAATTATACCATCAAAATAAAATAATACCATTTTTGTATCTTTTTGGAACATCCTCGTTTTTCAACCAGAAATTTAATTATTTTTTTCTTAAAAAAATTATTAAACAAAGTCGAAAAAATTACTTTTGGCTTTTTCGAATGTATTAGTTCATACATTTTTCAGCTAGAAATTTCGTTAAAAACAAGCTAAAAAATTCTACAAAATATTAAACAAAATATTATTTTTGATTTTTCGAGTATTTTAAGCACGTTTTTGAGATAAAAACAAAAAATTTTCCAAAAATTTTGACTAAAAAATTGTAAAATTAAAACGAAATTGATGCTTTTTTAGCTTTTTCCATCGCATTTTTTCGTTTTTGACTCATTTATTTTGCAAAAAGAATTGACTTTGATGTTATTTTTTTGTTTCACCCGATTTAACTGGTTTAGTAATGACTTTTGTAAAAATTCTTACATCGGAGATTTTATTAAAAATTAAAAAAACTAGACACTTATTTTTCAATTATTGATATAATAAATTAGGTCAAAGTAAAATAATATCATTTTTGTATCTTTTTGGAGCATTATCTTCGTTTTTCAACCAGAAATTTAATTTTTTTCTTTAAAAAATTCTTAAACAAAGTCGAAAATATCAATTTACTTTTGGCTTTTTCGAATGTTTTACTTGATACATTTTTCAGCTAGAAATTTCGTTAAAAACAAGCCAAAAATTCTATAGAAAGTGTTATTTTTGCCTTTTTTGGATCTTTTAAGTACGTTTTAGAGATAAAAACAAAAAATTTCCAAAAACTTTGACTAAAAAATTACAAAATTAAATCGTAATTGATATTATTTTTAGCTTGTTTCGTTCGATTTACTTTGTCTTTGAACCAGAGACTTATTTATTTTGCAAAATTCTTGCCTAAACACGCCCAAAAATCACAAAAAATTGGTTATGTTATTTTCTTTGTTTCACTTAATTTAACTGGTTTTTGAGCAAAATTAAGACAAAAACAAGCAGAGAAACCACAAAATTATGTCGACAATGCTTTTAAGCACGTTTTTGTACTAAATTCGCATTTTTTTTAAACCAATTTTGTAATTTTTGACTTGGTACGGCAAAATCTCAAGTTTTCAGATTACAAATCTGCTTAAACCGTCAAAACAAGCGCAAAATTACATCATTTTCAGCCTGATTCTGTGTTTTTAACAAAATTTTGAGAACGACTTTTGAAAAAACGCCTGAGAAATGCAAAAGTAAGATAATTTTTGACTTAATTAGTTGATTTTTTAAATTTGTTTTGGCAAAAAGTCGTGAAAAATTAAGGATTTTAGTACAAAAGCGTATTCAAAAGTATTTTCGACCAAATTTTGTAGTTTCTTGACTTTTTCTCAAAAAAATAGTTAAATCGATTAAAACAAACAAAATTACATCAATACCAATTGTTTTAGTGAATTTTAATCAGGAAGAGGAAGCGGCGGAAGCAAACTTAAACCTTTTAATTAAGCTTTAATTTGTATTTAGCGCCATTTTGAGACGTTTTGACATTTAATCAATACCAACATTACTACAATTCCCTACTTTAAAAGTAAATTTCTTTACTTTTAAACCCATTTTGGTCAATTACAATTATATGCCATTACCACGTCAACCGTTGTCATTATTATCAAAAATAATTTATATTTTTACAAATAAATAATAAATAATTTGTATTACAGGTACCAACATAAAGTATTTACCGACTTTACAGTTTCGTCATTTTCGACAAAACAAAAAACGATATAAAAATCTAGACTTGAGATTGTGTTTAATTAAACCCCAAGTTGCCTTAACTAACACTCAATTTTTATTATCTCAGCTTGTAGACATTTATTTGGTATTGTTGCCGTCATGTTGGCACCAGTTTTTTCATAACCTGTGAATTGTCTGATTTGTGTTGTTTATTTATTTAAAAACTTAGTGTTGTTTTTAGTATTTATTGAACAATTATGTATTATTATAATGACTCGTTAATAATACAAAAGTATGACATCATCGGGGACAAATATAGGGATTTATTGATATGCTACATTCAAACCATTTAAAAGTAAGTCAGTTACGTATAGATTACAAATAAATTCTAGCCTTATTGATATGATTCGAGTACATCCTTACAAAAACTCTTACAACTAGTATAAAACATTATAAATTTTTACAGTACAAAGTTATTGGTTGGTAACTAAATTAAATATAAAAAACGCGTCAGCAATAAAAAACGATCAAAAACCGATTTGTACAGAGAGATAAAAAAGATTGTGCGAACCTAAAACAGCCTAAAACCTAATAATCTATAAGAAGATTCTAGTTACAAAACAAAATTCCCCTAAAAGTTGGTAATTTTGGTGAAGCAGTTTGGCAGTACTTATTGCTGAAAAAACGTGAAATGTAGTTGTTAGGGGGGCACATACGGGGGCGGTTTCCTGTACGTGGGCGTCGGCTTGGGTCGCGGCTGTCTCCCATCGGTGCGCGTGAAAGGGGGCGGCGGCTGGTAGGGCTCCGAATCGTCGTTCAGTTTCAACGAGCCGCTTTTGCTGTACTCTGGGGGCGCTAGGGGCGGTTTCTCGTCCTTGAGAATCACCGGAGTCTTCGTCCCCGACTCGGGCTTCTCCTCCAACTCCTCCTGGAAGATCACGGGGATGCCCTTATTGCCATAATGGGGGCGCCCCTCCTCCTCCTCCACGTTCATTTTCCCGGTGCGGCGTCTCCGGTAGAGCACACAGGCGCACAACGCGGCGAAAAACAGCATCACCGAGATGATGACCGCGGGGATGATGAATGTCATGAGGTATTGGTAGTGGGCGGCAGCCCCCTCGGGGGACTTCTCGTCCACGGGGATGATGTCCTCGTGGATGGGGGGCGGGAGGGCCTTCGTACGGCAATTGCCCATCGTGAAAACGCTTATTTTTGATATGAGAAATTCGGGTTCCATGATACGGGACACCTGGTGGGAGATACCGCGGTCTTGGTGGTTTTTGAGCACCGACTCCAAGTGGTTTATCTCCTCATGGGGGCACTTGGTGGTGCTTAAAGTGCGGTTGAACCATGTTATGARAGTTGAACGGTCTTTTTGCTTAAAGGGGTTCATGTGGATCGAGCTGGAGTTGCGATCACCGAAGATTTCCTGAAAATTTTGATTTAGTTATGCAACCAACAATACATGCGTAATGACAGGATTGCCAAATTATGAGATTTTTGGTCCCAATTATACAAGAAATAAATCAAAATAAAACACTGCAACTTATTTTTGTGTTATTTTAATAAAATTTTGTTGTTTTTCTCAAATATTATCCCCAATTTCACAAATTTTGACGTCCTTGGAAGAGGTTCAGGGACACCAACACAAAAAATAAAATTCACTAGAACCAAGTTATGGTTATATTTTTTTAGCCAATTTTGTAATTTCTGTTTAAACCCTCAAAAGAGGCGAATAAATTCATCATTTTCAGCCTAATTCTATGTTTTTAACAAAATTAGCGTGTTCAAAAGTATTTTCAACCAAATTTTATAGTTTTTTGCCTTTTTCTTGTCTTGATTTTTCTTCAAAAAATAGTTAAATCGAATAAAACAAACAAAATCACATCAATACCAATTTTTTTAAGTAAATTTTAGGCGTGTTTGGACAAAAATTTGAAAAAAATTTCGTTCAAAAACAAAGTAAGTCGAACAAAACAAATTCAAGTTTGTATTTTTTTCAAAATTGTCAAAAAGACAAAAATAACACTATTTTTGGCTTGTTTTTACGAAACAATTACGTATCCAGCTGAAAAACGTGCTAAAACGCTAAATAAATGCAGAAATAATATAATTTTCAAGATAATTTGTTGAAATTTCTAAAAAAACAACGAATAAAAGTTACGCAACTAACAATACAGCTTCGACAAAATCGACACAAGTTATGCAACCAACAATACAGTTTCGATGACAGGATGCCAAATTATGACATTTTTGGTACCTATTTGAATGAAGTTTTTTGAAATCACAGAACTTATGAAAGAAAGAAATCAAAATAACACACTAGAACCTGTTTTTGTACAATTTTAATAAAATCTTGTTGTTTTTCTCAAATATTGTACCCGATTTGACAAATTTTGACGTCCTTGGAAGAGGTTCAGGGACACTAACAAAAAATTAAATTCACTAGAACCAAGTTAAAAAACCCCACAAATTTATTTTTTTTAACCAATTTTGTAATTTTTGACTCTACGGTAAAATCTCAAGTTTTCAGCTTACAAATCTACTTAAAACCTCAAAAGAGGCGCAAAATTATATAATTTTCAGCCTAATTCTGTGCTTTTAACAAAATTTTGCGTTTCCAACTGAAAAATGAAATAATTTGTTCGCGAAAAATTGAAGATTTTAGTACTACAAAAGCGTGTTCAAAAGTATTTTCAACCAAATTTTGTAGTTTTTTGGCTTTTTCTTGTCTTGATTTTTCTTCAAAATTAAATCGATAAAACAAACAAAATAACATCGATACCAATTGTTTTAGTAAATTTTAGGCGTGTTTGGGCGAAAATTTGTAAAAAATTCGTCGAACAAAACAAATTCAATTCAATCTCAGTTTGTATTTTTTTCAAAATTGTCTTCTTTTTATCTCAAAAACGGGCTTAAACACTCGAAACAAGGCAAAAACAACGCTATTTTTGGCTTGTTTTTACGAAAAAATTGCGTATCTAGCTGAAAAACGTGTTAAAACGCTAAATGAATAATTTGTTGAAATTTCTAAAAAACCGAACAAAAATTATGCAACTAATAATACAGCTCCGATAAAATCGCCCTATGACAGGATGCCAAATTATGACATTTTTGGTACCTATTTGAATGAAGTTTTTTGAAATCACCGAAATTATAAAAGAAAGAAATCAAAATAACACACTAGAAGCTGTTTTTGTATAATTTTAATAAAATTTTGTTTTTCTTATTTTGATTTTGACAATTTTATAGGCTCAACGTCGCCAACGCAAAAATAATAAATTCACCAAATCCAAGTCAAAAAAGTGGCTAAATTTACTTTTTTTAATAAGAATTTTGTAATTTTTGATTCAGTATGACAAAATCTCACTAAAAATCGAAGTTATCAAATTACATCATTTTAGATATAATTCTGTAATTTCTCAGCTTGTTTTTAACAAAATTTTCCAAAACAATTGCGTTTTTAGCTAAAAAAAAAAAATGCTAAAACGCTCGAGAAATGCAATTTGTAACTTAATTTGTTAATTTTTTAATTTGTTTTGGCCAAAACTCGCAAAAAAACTAACATTTTAGTATAAAAACGTGCTTAAATTTGATTTTGAGCAAGTTGAAAAAATTGCCAAATTTACTTTTTTTATAACAATTTTGTAATTTTTGCCTCAATATGGCAAAATCTCACTAAAAGTCTAAGTTACCAGTTTAAAATTTCGCTTAAATATTCGAAACACGCAAAATAACATAATTTTAGGTAAATTCCGTAATTTTTCGGATTGTTTTTACCACAATTTTGCGAAATAATTGCGTTTCTAGGTAAAAAACGTGTTAAAAGGCTCGAGAAATGCAACTTTCGTCGAGTAAATTTGTAGATTTTATCGTTTGTTTGATCAAATTTTGAAATAATTGAACAAAGGTTATGCAACTAACAATGCAGTTTCGACGACAGGATGCCAGGTTATGACATTTTTGGCCCCAATTTCAATGAATTTTTTTCAAATTACCTAAACTATAAAAAAAAGCCAAATAACACACTAGGACCTGTTTTGTACGATTTTAATAAAATTTTGTTGTTTTTTTCTTTGACGTAAAAGTTGCCACCACAAAAAAATAAATTCACCAGATCCAAGTTGAAAAAATTTCCAAATTTACTTTTTTTTATAACAATTTTGTAGTAATTTTTTATTCAATATGGCAGTTTCGCTAAAAATCAAAGTTTTCAGCTTAAAATTGCATTGATAATGATTGCAATTTTAATTTAAGTGTGTTATTTTTCTCAAATAATGTCTCCGATTTTCAAATAAGTTCAGGGACGCCAATGCAAAAAATAAAATTCACTAAAACCAAGTCAAAAAAGTTGCCAAATTTACTTGTTTTATAACAATTTTGTAATTTTTGATTCACTATGGATAAATCTTACTAAAAACCGAAGTTATCAGTTTGCTTTTTTGCAGTTTACATTATTTTAGGTAAATTTCGTAATTTCTCGGCTTGTTTTTACCACAATTTTGCGAAATAATTGCGTTTCTAGGTAAAAAAAACGTGCTAAAAGGCTCGAGAAATGCAACTTTCGACGACTAAATTCGTAGATTTTATCGTTTGTTTTATCAAATTTCGAAATAATTGAACAAAAGTTATGCAACTAACAAGGCAGTTATGGCAAAATCGACCCAAAGTTATGCAACTAATAATACAGCTTCGATGACAGGATGCCAGATCATGACATTTTTGGCCCCAGTTTCAATAATTTTTTTTCAAATTACCTAAATTATAAAAAAAGAAAGCTAAATAACACACTGGGACTCGTTTTTGTATGATTTTCTCAAACATTGTCCCCGATTTTGACAATTTTTGACGAGAATGTCGCCAACACAAAAAAATAAATTCACTAGATCCAAGTTGAAAAAATTGCCAGATTTACTTTCCTGTGATTTTTCAGCTTGTTTTTAACGAATTAACTACGTTTCTAGCTTAAAAAAATGCGCTAAAACCCTCAATAAATTATTTTTTGACTTAAATTTTCCGAAAATTGGTTCGAGTTATACAACCAACAARACTKCCAATGACAGCCATGCCAGTTTTTCTKACKTAGTTATGCAACCATACATACTTGCAATTTCTCGACGAATTTCCTCTGCATGGAGGCACTATTCACGAACGTCTCGTAGGGCGTCTCCACCGTCATACTAAACTCAACATTGTAGTGCATTTTGGGGGCCGGATAGACAACAATTTCGAGACTATCGGTCGCCGTGGCCCCTCCACTATCCACACAAACTAGATGGTATTCACTCCGGCCTGGCTTTCGGGGAATCCCATAAAACTCACGATTCTTGCCATCAAACTGCAGCCAATTAGTCGACTTGATTGCTTGCCGATCAGCCGTGAGGAGCGAAATGTTAAGAGTTCGTGAATCCGTATCCTCGGGGTCGTAGAAAGTATCCTAAATAAAAAAAAATTAATAAAAAAAAACTACACCAAAAACTAAACTAAACTCACATCAGGGACTTTGAAGATGAGTAGTTCCCCGACTGTGGCATTGATATGATCGACGGGGTTGCGCAAAAACGGCGAAAAGTTCGTCGGGGGAGTCACCGGGACTTGGGGCGTCTCGCACACCCCCAAACCGTGTTTGGTGACCTTTTTCACCCGCAAATCGGGGGTTAGCAACAAGCTGAGCTCTTGTTTGGGGTCACCGCGGTCATTAGCAGTCAACATCTGAAAAAAAAAAAACAACACACTAAAAAATCCTGAAAATTTTTTTGTCACCTTATAAAGCTTGTCGATTTCCTCAACTGGGCAATAATTCGTCGGAATTGAGTCATTAGTCCACGTGAAAACCACCGGTTCACTCGTGTAATTCACATTTCTGACGGTAATCTCCGTCATATTCGTGTTGTAAATCTTCCCCAAAGCCCTCAAAGTCCTCAAACACCAATCGACGAAATGTGGAAACTCTTGTTGTTTCTCAATTCGCATAAACAACGACATTTCATGATTAACAACACGTTGTAATTTGTGTTGTTGCACCTGAATGGTGAAAGTGTCGGTAATGTAGGCACCTTCACGATCTGTGGCCTTTAAAACGTACTCCCATTTGGAGACATCCTCCTCGAGGGGTAACCCGTAGATTTCACGTCGATGGGGGTTGAAATGACACCAAGAATCGCGCGAAAGGGCCTCCCCGTGCGCATTCAAAAACTCCAAAGTGAGGTTATGGCCGTCTTCGAAGTCATTAAACGTGTTTTTGGGGACCACAAAACGGAAGATTTTCCCCGCAATGACCGACATTTGATTGAGGCGATTTTCAATATACGGGGGGAAATTCTTCTCCTCGATTTCCACCGTTTCAGTGGTGGAAACAACATGACGCGTTGTTGTTAATTTGACAGTTGGTGTTGTTTCTTCTTCTGTTGTTGTTGTTGACACTTCAGTACTAGTTGTAGTTGTTGTTTCTGGTACTGTTGTCATTTCATACAACACAGTCGCCGGTTCTGTATCTTCAATAATCATCATTGTTGTTTCCCGTTCCGTTGTTGTGGGTACTGTCGTTTCCGAAACAACAACAACATCACGCGTTGTTGTCGTTGTTGTTGTTGTTTCAACTAATTCAGGTACCACAGTCGGGTCTTCGTCATTATCTTCCAAATCATAGTCGTAGTCTTCATACTCGTAGTCAATTTTCGTGGAATTTGTTGTTTGTGGTACCATTTCTTCGGTTGTTGATTTTTGTGTTGTTGTTGTTGTTGTTGTCGTTTCAGGTACCAGTTCCGTTGTCGGTTTGGTGCTAGATTGTGGTACCTCGCCGTGGTGGTGTCGATGTGGGTGCGTTGTTGTCGTAGTGGTACCCTTTTCTTCCTCATATTCGTACTCATCGTCGTAGTTGTCGTAATAATCATCATCGTAGTCACCACTTCCATAATCTTCAGTTTGTCGRTTGGTTCTTGTTTTTGGTTCAATTTTGACCCTCCAACCAATCAATGGAAGTCCAAGTACCTCACTAATGGTACCATCACGTGCTTGGTGCTTCAATTGGTGCACCAATGGTGCTGTTTGTAACCATAAACGCCCATCACAGCCTACTGGAACCGTCACCGATGTTAATTTCACCGATTTTGGGTTGTAATTTCCTGGTCCTGCGAGTACTACCGAACTATCTGTTGTAATATCATCTTTTTCTAATTGAGGTTTTAAAGTGAAGGCACTCTAGAATTACAAAATTACAAAAAAAATTACAAAAAAAATGAGAAATTACATAAGGCAAGCCAAAAAACTTTGCGATGTTGTTGACAGCTATCACTCTTTGTTTCGGTTTGATTGCCCTGACGCCCTTATCAATAACAAGACTAAGTACAGTGTTATCTTCAGTACATTTGAGATCCGACGTTTCGTGCACGTTAATCGTGACATCTTCAGATATGTTTCGATTCCTGATGACTAGATGAATGGTACCGATGTCGTCCCCGAGGGGAACCCCCCAGAAGACGCCCCCGATTTTGTCAAAGAGTAGCCATGCGGGGAGAGGGGCGCCGTTGGAACACCGCGCTTCGAAGGCCCCTCCAGCCCCCTTGGAGACGACGTAGTGGAACACTTTGCCGACTCCAGCATCTATTTCTTTGTTTCCGGTGTTGATTTCCACCTCGAAGTCGTCGGAGACGTCGAAGGCGAAGTCCTCTTCTAAGGCTTGAGTCGCGATTGCCACCGCCAGCAGGGCAGCCACCACAAAGGAAGACATTTTCGCAAGGAGGGGTCACGCTTTCATCGCCTGGAAAAATCGGTGAATCACAGGAAATTGTTATTTGTTTAAGTGATTAGTCAATGTTTATAAAAATGACGGGTTTGTGGATGATTACACATACCAGACTTMTGSATAAACAACGGAAATAATAATTAAAATTCYCGGAATTGTGAAGTTTTWTCAAATTTCGCGCCACGTGGCGCTGGTGTCGCAAAGTCACAAAATGGCGTTTTTTACCACTGTTTGTGGCGAATTCAAATTAATCAAAGTTTATTATTTGTGCTCATRTTTTGGTTATTTGACWCGTTTTTTGTGCCAGAAARGTTATTTATGGAAAATGTTCGAAAACCGGACCCAAAACAATAAAAAACGCCGGKATTGTGGTTAGTGAAGTGAAATGTATTCAAAGTTAAAATAAAACCACTTCAGATTGTAATAAAGGTAAGAATTGTGTTTATTTTCAATAAATTTACTCAAATTGTAACAATAAATGGACCAGTTCATTGTAATTCAAAGGGGTGGTCGGTGTGAAAACCATGGAAACCGTCTAGATTTATTGTTATAAAATTGAATGCCAACCACTCAAAAATTAAATTCCTAGAGTAATTAATTAATTTTGAAAAGTTATGTGATTTAATTGATCTTAGACAGCGTTCAATTTCTCACTTTTGAACCAGTGTTGCCAACATCTCGAATAACATTTCCCCAAACATTAATAAAAATGTTTAAAATAAATACCGTGCGATCAAAAAAAAAAATAAATTAGAGTAGGCTGTGATTAAAGTTCTTCAGATGGTAATCCTGATTTTTGACATCAAATGTCAGCGGAAACTTTGACAAGTTTTCGTTTTATTCATTTTGAGTGAAATAATGTTACAGAAAGATAAAAATTGTGTCAAAAAATCTGTTGGCAACACTGAATTATTGGTAATCCTTCTACTTTGTGATTCCAGCGGCCGCCCCTCAAAAACGAATGACAATTGACTATAAATTTATGACATTTGAATTTGATGGTCAGTGTTGCCAAATTAAGATTTCAAATTTAAATTTAATTTTTTTTCTTTTGTAACATAAATTAATGGATCACGAAAAAAACATGGAAAAATCATTAAATCATTAAAAAAAAAATCCCCAAAATGGGTGAAATTGGCTAAAACGCGTTTCAAATTGTTGTAGGAATGTCACAAATTTACTCAAATTGTAACAATAAATGGACCAGTTCATTGTAATTCTAAGGGGTGGTCGTCTGTGAAAACCATGGAAACCGTCTAGAATTTATTGTTATAAAATTAAATGCCAANAATAAATGGACCAGTTCATTGTAATTCTAAGGGGTGGTCGTCTGTGAAAACCATGGAAACCGTCTAGAATTTATTGTTATAAAATTAAATGCCAACCACTTAAAAATTAAATTCCTAGATTAATTAAWTAATTTTGAAAAGAAATGTGATTTAATTTCGAACAAGTTGATCTTAGACAGCGTTCAATTTCACACTTTTGAACCACTGTTGCCAACAACTCGAATGACATTTCCC